AGGTAGTGGTCCGCACTTGAAGGGATTGGGGCCCGGGCCCTGGGCATATTCAGGCTTTCGAGTCAGGGCTTAGGGTAGAGCGTTTGGGCTTCGAGGTTTAGAGGCCAGGCAAGAAGTTGCAACCACATGACAGCATGATGCCACATCCCACGTGGCACTTTTTTTTGCGGGTCAACCAACATCACGGCAAGTCTAAGCGGTGTCGCGGGGCAGACTTAGGCAGAAGGGTCCCCAAGCACGACACCCTAATCCCAGCTCCTGACCCCTAAAGTTTAGGGGCTTAAAACCCTAGAACCCTAAACCCTCAACCTGAAACCCTATACACCAAACCCGTAACAAGATTCAACTATAGACTTCAAAAAACTTCGGACCAGCCATCTGGCGAAAAGTCATGTGGGCATCTGCTTCCAAGAAACCCATGGTGGCCATCATGCAGATTCGGCCATGCTTCCTGACGAAAGCTCGCTCTTTCTCTGAGCTTCTGGATTTAGGAACTTATGGGTTTAGGGTTTAGGGTTTGGGGTTTAGGGTTTAGGGCTTAGGGCTTAGGGTTTGGGGTTTAGGGTTTAGGGTTTAGGGTTTAGGGTTTAGGGTTTAGGGGTTAGGGTTTAGGGTTTAGGGTTTAGGGTTTAGGGTTTAGGGTTTAGGGTTTAGGGTTTAGGGTTTAGGGTTTAGGGTTTAGGGTATTCCCCCTTGTACTAGCAGTCCTTTCGTAGGCATTGTAGTAGGGGGTACTATAATCCCCAGTTCAGGACTGTTGGTATAGGGGGGAGCATCCCAGCTTATGGATTTATGAATTGGGCTGCCGGGTGCGCAGTCTGGGGATCACGCTTTCGGCCTGGTAAACTGTTGGCTTGATCAGTTGATTTAGGGATTGGGAGTCTGCATCGGGTTTAGGGCAGGTTTTTGAGGGCTGGTTCACGGATACAGGCCCAGGGTGCATGCATCCAACGAAACCTGTGAGCAAAACAAAAAGTAACATCTATATATAAAATATATATATATATATAATATAATATATATTATATTATATATATATACACACCATTCGAAGAAAGATGGGATAGAGACATTCAGCACTCTTGCTGACACTGCTCATGCCCAAAACCCCGAAACAGGTCCTAACATTAAACATTGCAAGGTCCTGCCTCCGCCTCATGTGGGCCATATGAGCTTGCCAACAACTTTGTACCATTTTACAAGGGAACCCGGAACCCAAAAAGAGTACCAGACTAAACCCTCAACCCTAAACCCTAAACCCTAGAGACGTCCGCAACACAAAGCCCACTGACTAACCTTTTTGTCCTGAAAACTCCTTGACCTATCTGCGTCATTCTCGACGACCATCCCATAGACCAGCTAATCTTCCAATACTCTGGAAGCAACTTGCGAAAGTTCAGCTCTTTGAAAACCAAGCTGTGCACGTTCAACTAAACGCCCGGCGACCGAGTATCTTTTGCTGTAGTATTTCGGGACCGAACAGCCCTACCACAAGGATCCTAGGGAACAGACCCCAAACCCTAAAACCTGAACCCTACACCCTACACCCTAACCCTACACCCTAACCCTCGACTCTGAACCCTAAAACCCGAACCCGAAAACCCCGAATCCCGAAAACACCAATGCTCTCAAAGACGTGATACAAAACCCCGCCCCAAAAAAAACAACTAGGAACAGCCTCGCGAAGAGTTTTCTAGACTTAATTAACACCTTTAAGAGGTCCTACGCCCGAAACCTACACCCTCGACCCTAAACCCCTTTAAGGGACCCCGAAGCCCTAAACCCTTAACCCCTAAACCTTAAACCTGAAACCCTAAGCCCTTAACCCCTAAATCCCCTGAAGAGACCCTGTACGCCACTTTGTCTTCGTGCCGCCGCAGGAGCAGCTCGACTGAGCGGCGCCTCTTAAAGATGGACACATCACCTGCAGGGACGGGGGTTAGAGGGTTTAGGGTTGAGGGTTAGGGTTAGAGGGTTTAGGGTTCAGGGTGTGGGGTTTAGAGGGATTCGATCTAAGCTACCAACAAGTTTGAGTGTCTTATTAGCGCGATAAAAAAAAAAAAACACTCAAACTTGTTTCTAACTTGACACATCACCTGCAGGGACGGGGAGGGGATTCGATGGTTCAGGGGTTAGAGGGTTTAGGGTCTAGGGTTTAGAGTTTAGGGTTTGGGTTTGGGGGTTTGGAGTTAGGGGTTATAGGGGTTTATGGTGAAGGGGTTAGGGGTATAGGGCTGAGGGTTCGGGGATTTAGGGTTCAACGTTCAGGGGCTTAGGGGCGTAGGGCTTCAGGAGTTGTTGGGCTTCGGGCTTCAGGTTCAGAGTTTCAGGGTTCAGGGTTCAAGGTTTACAGGCTTAAGGCTTTAGGAGGTTTAAGGTTCAAGGTGAAGCTGTTCAGCGTTTAGGGCGCAGGCTCAGGGTTCGGGAGGCTTTGCGGTATAGGCTTCTCGAACCCTCGAAGTCTCAGGCCCCAAACTCTGAACCCTTTCAACCCCCCAAAATCCCAGATTCCGAAACACCCACACCTTCTCGAAACACTCAACCCTCAACCCGCCCAAACCGACACGAGACCTCAGAAAAGGACTGCTTGGACAAAGAAACCTCCAAAACCCGAACCTACGCTCCCTGAAACACGAGGTTCAACGGCACCAACTTGGAGCTTGAAGCCTCAAGGTGCCGACCTTTGAACCCCTGCTCAGATGCCAAAATAAGGCAACCATAGCATAATCCCCTTTTTTTCGGACACCTCCGTGGAACCACCCCGCCCCCCCCCCCCTGTTCCTTAAACCCGCCACACTGATAGGAAAGCCCTAAACCCCCTAAACCCTAAACCCTAAACCCTAAACCCTAAACCCTAAACCCTAAACCCTAAACCCTAAACCCTAAACCCTAAACCCTAAACCCTAAACCCTAACCTCAGGAAAGCCAGCTCCAAAGAACAAGAGCCGCCAACTTGTGGCCCAGACGCCGTCTGAGGAGAACCCAACGGGATCCCAGAAGCCCACGGGATCCTGCCTGAGTTAGGGCTTAGGGTTTAGGGTTTAGGGTTTAGGGTTTAGGGTTTAGGGTTTAGGGCTTAGGGTTTAGGGTTTAGGGTTTAGGGCTTAGGGTTTAGGGTTTAGAGTTTAGGGTTTCAGGGTTTGGGGCTTTTTGAATTTGTATAGGGTTTGGGTCCCAGAAAGTTTTGAGCGGTTTTGTTTTTTTGGAACTATGTTTTCATTTGGCGAGGCGGGGGGCGGGGGAGCTGAGGGGGGATCTGGAGGGGCGCGGTGGGCGGGGGGGGGAGAGCTGGGTGGGAGGGGCTTTGGCGGAGAAAGCTCCAGAGGGTGCAAGTAAATTGAGCATTTGGTTTCCAGAGGTGTTTTGGATTAAAATACTTAAACTCAGCTTGTCAGCTGTTTAGACAACTAAGTTCGGAAATTCATAATGATACCACATACAATTTCTAGTTTTTTGTCTTGAGGGTTTAGGGCTTGGGGTTTAGGATTTAGGGTTTAGTGTTTAGGGCTGAGGTGGGTTGAAGGGTTTACGGTTTAAGGCATGTCACGGACCCAGGAATGTATTGTCCGGAGCACTCTTTCAAAGTCCTAAACTCTAAACTTTAAACCCTAATTGCTGACTGGCCGCGCTCCTTCGCTTGCCGACAGATTGAGAACATCTTTCGGAGCAAGGGCACTCGGGCCTAGAGTTCATATGCGCGAAAATCTGCCTTCAAGACAGACGAAGGCAATCACGAACCCACAGAAACCCAAACCTCCAGCGACAGCGGTCCCACATGGGGTCAAGTATGGGAAAATTGAGAAGCACCACACGCAAAGCTTGCACCAGGTAGTCAACATCACGCCTCAAGGTGTCGATTGCACCCTTGGGCGGCATTGTCCGTCTCAGTCCCAGCGGGTACGCTAGGAGGGTCTGTGAGTTGGAGCCACACGCTGCCGAGCGAGCATCCTTTTTTGCGAGAGATTCTTGCCTGCAGACTGTACATACGACCCAAGACACGAAGAACCCCAGCCGAACAACGACACGAGGACCGGCGCCAGAGGGCGCTTGGGCATCAGAGGACGCAAGACCCACGGTGCGCCAGAGGACGCCCGCATGTCCCGACAGCGTTAATAAGCGATTGCAGCACGCGCAAGTGCGTTGCGCTTCGTCGCTTTCCCTGCACTGGTTTTCACGGGCCTGTGTAGCGACAATAGACTCCCAGGTCTTTTCGCATTTAACGCATGTGCAATTCGCCTTCATGGTTCGTCGGCAGTAAGCCATGCGTCGGTTCTTTTTATCGAGGAGTTTGAGTTTGCTCGGATGGATTCCTGCAGCACCTGCTATCCGCAGGAGCACTGCCAGCACACCTGAGCTTCGTCCGTGGATCGCTGGCGACAGCCGCATTGACCCGAGTGTTTAATACGCTTCTCTTGGGAAATTTTGCCGCAGTGACACGCCGTCCACCGCCTGCACAATTTAATTTCGTGAGCCTCTCGTGCTTTTCTGTTAGGGAGCACGACGTCGCAGCGTCGACAAGGCGGTTCATCGTTGACGATAGGCTCAGCCGCATTACACAGAAATTCGTGCTTGCCGCACTTTCGTGCGTTGCGGAACAGGCGACTGCTGGACCTGTCCTTGCCCTGTCCTTTGGCTGCGCTAACCGCAAGGCTTCCAACAGAGCGCACAGCAGCCTCCAGATACTACAGCGGCTTCGGCATCCATGGCAACGGCCAACGAGAGGCCAACGAGTACGAAAAACACGAACAGCACTCTTGAGCACACGAAAGCTCGGCGGTAGACAGGTTGTACACAAGCGTCCAAAAGGGGTACCAAACTACGCGGACAACAAAACATAAACACAGCAACATGACCCAAAGGCCCCGTTTGCTTGGTATTTGACAAAACATGAGTCACAGATGGCACCGCTTAAGGCGATACTTAAAGTGGTGGACTGTTCCAAACTGCTCGCTATGTCCCGCATCCCTGACGCACAACGGGCATGTTCTCGGGAACTCGCCCTAATCAAATTTATGGTCGGCACTGCGCACCGCCTCACTGCCCAGCGGAGACCGCAAGCGTAGCCCCTCCAGCGAAGGCTTGCACAAAATGGTGACCACCCAAGGGTCCGCCGACTCCCCCCGCGGTTCTCTGTAGAAGGCCGCCTCCACCGACACCACACTTGCCCCCAGGATTTCCTGAAGGGGTTCGCCTTCGCCATCCACCCCTTGCTGCTTGAGCAATTCACCAACCAAACGCACCAGTTGAACCTTGAAGGGTAGAGGCCTGTGGCCTGGACCCGGCGACCTGCCTTCCTCCCTACTGGCCTTGGCACCCTCCTCCCAAGTACGTAGCAGCTCCAAAGCCCTCTCCTTGGCCTGCCCCACGAAAAACGCCACCATTTGCCTGCTGGACCTATCTTTGCCAACCCCCTCTGCTGCATGTACAGCAAGAGAGCCAACACTGTGAACAGTGGACTCCAAGTAAGACAACCTTTTGCCCACAGACTCGGCATCCATGGCGATGGCCGACTAGCGGCCCACGAATACGAAAAACCACGAACAGCGCTTGAGCACTCAAAAGCTCGGCGGAATACAGTTTGTGCGCAGTCATTCACAAAAGGCACAAAATAAAGTGGATAACAATAACATAGCAGCAGCACAACCGGTCCCACGTCCCCAGCCAGGGTTAAAGGTTTAGGATGTCTGCTTGGAACTGAAAGGACGAGATTCACAAGTGGCATCTTTTCAAGTGATATTTAAAGTGGTGAACTGTTCTATACTGCTCGCTATGGCCTATTTCCTTGACGCATATCGGACACGTTCTCGGGAACTCACTCTGCTCAAATTTATGGTCGGCGGCTATATGCAATCGAAGACTAGATGGCCCGGGCCAATATCCCGAGCAAAATGGGCAAACATGGGGTGACTGCATGACACGCTTTTTCGCAGGTGCCCGGTCAGAGCCGATTCCCGATCAAAACTTCGAGGACACTGTGGCCATTGCAAGATTTGACGGTGCGCCAACCCCGACCGCGTTGCGTAACGCTTCCACACAGCCAGGCAGTGGACAACGAAACCTCCTGGTTTCTGAACGTACCGACCCGACTTGAAATATTTGCTTCGGACTCGTCCCTCAGTTGCATCGTCTGCGGCAGCCTTGCGCAAAACCCAAGCAGGAGTAGCCATCTTGCGTTGATATGCCAACGAGTAACGCCAGAATGCGCAACACCGGGGATTACAGTGGGCATTCGGGATATGGAGTAGTTTTCTGACGCCACACACAATGACACACACAATTTACCAAGAGCCAAATCAGCTTCCGTTTCCCATTGCCCGACATCATCCATCAAGACAGTGCTAAACAGTTCGGACAGGAGATCAGCTAAGTCAATTGTTGGATGCTCCTGAAGCATATTATGAACCACAGGTCGAATGCGCGCGCGTGACTCCTCCCTACCCCCACGACTAGTTTCCCAAGCTTTGAAACCAGGGCCATTCATACAACGAGCCACGGTGCGCAATGCAAAGTAAACGGGCCCAAAAAAAGGGACCAACTGCGGTGAGCAACGAAAATGTAACCAGTGGAGACATACTGTAGAAATCTCGCTGCCACAAGGCACGCATAACATCACTCCGCAACTTCTTCAAGAAATCCACTTCCCAACAGATCGTATGCGTCCGTGACCATAACAGGCCGGGGTAGTTCTCTAAATTAGGGTCCTTTTTGGGATCCCGTTTTAAAGGACCCAAAAAGGGAGGGACGGCCTTTAATTTTAGGGGCGGTTTAGGGGCTTAGGGGTTAGGGGTGATTTGGGGGTGTAGCGGTTTGGGGTCTTGGGGTTTTGGGGTTTAGGGGCGGGTTAGGGGCGTAGGAATTAGGGGTTTGGGGTTTAGGGTTACTTGGGGCCCCGTGTTGCAGGACTCTTGCGAACTGAACCCTGAACCCTGAACCCTAAACCTTGACCCGAGATTTTCGTGCTTGGGGGAGGGGAAAGAAGATGCCCCCAAGTGTCACTCCCAGCTCGGTTTCGAAAGCCTTCAGCGCCACCTGCCACTCAGGGCTTCGGATGCAGAACCCCAAAGCCCAAAACCTTGTCGCGATTTAGGGGTTTAGGGTTTAGGCTTTAGTCTTTAGGCTTTAGGCTTTAGGCTTTCGGCTTTAGGCTTTAGGGTCTAGGGTTTCGGGTTTGGGGTCGGGTTGCTGAAAACCCCGAACCCCAGAAGGTGGAAAACCCCCGCAAACCCTAAGGTCGAAAACCCGGAATGCTAGGCGTACCTCTCATCCAGCCCCAAAACATGCGCAAACAGGATATCTATGCAAAGTGAAAGGGGGGGAAGGGGGGCGGAGGGGGCACGTCACTTTTCCCGACTTGCCAGCAAGACAGGTATCTAGAGCCAGGAGTCTGGGGGCAAAAGTTCCCTAAACCCTAAACCCTAAACCCTAAACCCTAAACCCTAAACCCTAAACCCTAAACCCTAAACCCTAAACCCTAAACCCCCAAACCCCAGGCCCGTAGCCCCAAGTCACAGGAACTCCTGGAGTCCGCGAACCTCTCCAGCTTGAAACCCTTCATGGCTCAAAGCCCGGGGCCGCGGGATAGGGTTAGGGTTTAGGGCTTCGGGCTTAGGGCTTCGGGCTGAGGGCTTAGGGCTTAAGGCTTAGACCTTAGGGTTTAGGGTTTAGGGTTTAGGGTTTAGGGCTTAGGGTGCTTGAGGGTTGCCCCCTCAGCCCCCACCGCCAAAGAAGTCAGGCTCACCGCACGGGAGGCGGAGATGCTGAAGCTGGCCTGCGGTGGTTCAGGGCACTTATGAACCAAACATAACTTTAGGGTTTAGGGTTTAGGGTTTAGGGTTTAGGGTTAGGGTTTAGGGTTTAGGGTTTAGGGTTTAGGGTAGTACTTATGGCCATACTAGGTGGGCTATAAGTACAGTAAAAATTGGTTAACAACACCATGAACCTCCAAGTGGCGAGGGGTCCGACCCCAGGGCGTCGGGTTCCCGCAAGCAAGATTTACAAGCAGGGGGGATATCAGGGCATCAGGGCGTACTTATAGGGTTTAGGGTTTAGGGTTTAGGGTTTAGGGTGTAGGGTTTAGGGTTTAGGGTTTAGGGTTTAGGGTTTAGGGTTTAGGGTTTAGGGTTTAGGGTTTAGGGTTTAGGGTTTAGGGTTTAGGGTTTAGGGTTTAGGGTTTAGGGTTTAGGGTTTAGGGTTTAGGGTTAGACCCCTCCCTAAAGCCTGAATCCTAAACCCCGAAAAGCCCGAACTGAACTGAACGTGCCAACCATGTCCCACAAAAGACAACCCTTGAAGGAAGATCACAGGCTTTCTTCTACCCCCTCAAAGAAGAAAGGAATTCCCCCCAATCTAAGACCAAAGTGTCAGTAGGCAAACCCTACCCTAAATAGTCCTGGAACACCCTTGAAGGGAAGAGTTGAAACCCTGAACCCGGTCAACCCTCCCCCCCCACCCCAAAAAAAAAAACAAAAAGAGGGCAAACAGGAACTAACACAGCCTAAACAACCCACACAAATCCCAAATCAAAGCCCTGGAAATCCTTAAAATTCCCTAAAAGCCCTAAACATCCTTAAAAGCCCCGGTCCTGGGGTCGCTTGGAAGCGGCAGCACCCAGCGCGCACACAGTGGCGGCACCCAAGCCGACACTCAAGGCCTTGAGGGCTTGAGGGCTTCAGGGTTTAGGGTTCAGGGTTTAGGGTTTAGGGCTTCGGGTTGGGGTTCTTGGGTTCGTGGGGGGGTTTGGGGGCATGTAGGCTTCGTTGAGGGCCTTGCGGTTGTAGGCTTTTTGTTGGGGGGGGTTGGGGATTGCAGGTTTTTGTTGAGGGTTTTGGGGTTCAGGGGCTCAGTTTAGGCTTCTGGGGTTGTTCTGGGCCAGAAGCGGCCACACGCACTTGTTCAGCGCTAGCTAAGCCTTTAAGTAGTAGGCTACCCCGGCCTTTAATCTAAGGGAAGCTGCATGGTCCCTTGAAAGGGTCCCGTACCTTGTTTCAAGGGTTCTGAAAGGCCCTCGTTGGGTGTTATCCATGGCTACAAAGGGAGCAGTCGCACAGGATTCAGAGGGCCAGTACACAGCAAACCACCGGCAGGTTGAACTCGATGGTGGAACCGCTCACCACAAGACCCAACAAAACCCTGGGCCCTGCTGCTTGAAAAGTCCTCCCGCCACTCGCCCTCACTACGTGACCCCTAAATGCCGACCTCGGGGACCACACGAACCCTTCAAGGGTCTATGGTTCATACACCTTCATAGGGCCAATTTTCGGATTAGGAAAGTAAACCCAAAACACCAAAACGGTGGGCGGGAGCCGGGCGCTGCTGCTGGTGGCCCTGTCGACCGTCTGGGCTGAGGTAACCTGCCAAGGTTTAGTTTCGGGGCGGCCTCACCCCAAGAAGCCTTCAAGAAGCCTAGACCAAGAGCTTTGCATGTGGAGTCTGGCGTTTTGGATTTTTATTTTCCTTTTGGGGGGAAGGGGGCTTGAGGGTTGTAGGGCTTTAGGGCTTACTGCCATGTCCAGGGTTTAGGATTTTAGGGGATAGGGCAACCAGTAACCTTTGAAAACCCAAGTTCCACACAGCTGCTTCCTTAATAAGGGGTCTTTAACTTCGTGGCTTAAACTCTGAACCTTGAAGCCTCAACCTTAGAAGCCCTAAACACTATAAGCCCTACGCCCCACACCCCACCTGAGCAACGGAACCCTTGGCTTTACGAAAGTGAGGGCTCAGGGTTCAGGGTTTAGGATTTGGGGTTTAGGGTTTAGCGTTTACGTGGGTTAGGTTTAAGGCTGAAGTGATTCTCTGTTTTGTTTTTTTTTTTGGGGGTGGGGGGGTGGAGGGGGGGGGGTTCCTTGTAACACACATCACAAGAGGTATAGTTGGAGCTTACGAGGTGGGACCCTACTTTGGGGAAATACCCACGGCATTCAGCAGAGAATGGCTTTGGAACGGTTTGAAGCTATGACGGCTTCGGCCAAGACCCACAACCCCCCCCCCTCCAAAAAAAAAAGAACATAAAAGGAAAGGAATAAAAAAGCCTGCACCCCCAAGCCCGAAAACGCCCCGATTCGCAAAGAAAAACACACCACCAAGGCTCCCCCCCTTCCCCCCGCGAAACATCCGAAAGATGGCAAACCATCAAGCCCGCATTGTGCTTTGCTCATCCCTAGTAGGGACTGTCAGTATAAGGTGGAACATCCCAACATACATTCATAAAGCATGGCTTTGGGCTCATGTTGCCAAGACTTGGACCAGTCGGTTTTTCACCTTGGGGAGGTTCCCCCCTCTTTCTAAGAGTCCTTAGTCGGGATTATCATCGGGGGGGCTAGAATCACTATTCAGGAGGACTGTTTGTATGAGGGGGAAGATCCCAAGATTTCCAAACATGAAGCAGCCAACCTCTCCAGCCCGGGTGGCGCGGAGGCTCTTAGTCTGCGCAGTGGGTGCCACAAAGGCAGTGCTGCAGAGGGCGGCGGCGCCTGTCAGTTGGTTTAGGGTTTAGGGTATA